TACCACTACATCTTATTTAACCCCCCGTGTTAGAATTACCGACACCAATCAATTAAATCAAAATTATCTGAAAATTTAATTCATTGACTAAATTAATCCTTTATTATATTTACTTAACTTATTTCACGTGACGGATCTAAAATCCACCTGCAGGGTTTTCACGTGAAAACTTATAAGTAACCATAAAGGGGTGTCTTCAACTCGAGTCCGAGACACGGTTCTATCAACTAATTATTATTTCACTAATGTAATTTGTCATTATCTAATCTATTAGGAATTTATTGACTCATCAAAAAGTCTCACCTTTTAATAGATTAAAACAATAAAATAAATTACATAGATCACAATAATTATATCAAGATTAAGAGTATAAGTACATGTAGTGGACTAGAGAATTTATTTATAAATATTCAGAACATAAACAAATGTCTCTAATTGGTCCGTTCAATACATACAAAATGTACTAGCACAAGAAGTTTGAATTTTAACCATTCTCATAATTTAAGATTCAAAATTATATTTTAATCTTGTGCTACGATCATCAAGATGTTCTTCCTACTTCATCTTTGATCGTGAACATAAATTTATAACTTATATGCATAGACAATTTTAATCTTCCGTGTATGAGTTAAAATACTCCATACACAAAATTGTCTACTATATAAGCAATGGACACACATATATACATAATGATCTATTTAAACAAAAAAATTATTATATTAAATAAAGAACATAAAAAATCTTTACAAGGGATTAAATAAAAAATACTAGAACACAATTACATGGTTAATTGTATATCCCAACAGTTTGTGGGGAAAAAATGGGTTGTTATGGTTCGAAAATGGTGGTGGAACAGTGTATCTAGCTGGAGAGGAAAGGCTCTGGTACTATTTGGGCGGTGGTGGCCTTTTTGGCGGCTGGAAGCAGTGAACAACCGTGGTTTTGGGTGGTAATGAGTCTTTTTGTGGTGGTAGACTTGCCGAATTCTGGCGGATCTCCGGAGAGTTATCATCGGAAAAAATAATGAACAATAAAAGAATTTTTCAAAACTAAAAATTACACCCCTTAAGGCATCTCCAACCCTACACTACATTTTACACTTCAAATATATAGTTCTCTATGTTTTCAGACAATCAATTTCAACTAAATTCTTTATTTTACTTTCTAAAAAGGAATCTTCTTCTCTCCCTCAATATTATAATACTAGGAAAATTACCTGTGCTTCGCGCGGGAATTCAATACCACGAAATTTATAAAATAATACTAAAAATCTATCAGTCATTAAAACTAAAACACTATATTGTTTTACATACAAGATTATGTAGTAATAAACATTAATAATGTAAGGGAAAATGAAATGGTGTCAGTGATCCACTCAATAGGAGCAAAGTACACAAATAGTTAATTGTGAAGAAGAAGAAGAGGAGGAGGAGGAGGTTCGGAATTTTCATTGTTTTAAAATGAGAGGAAATCCCTCTATTTATAGACAACAAAGTGTAGTGTGAACAAATGTTTATTGTGCCTTATCGGAAAGGTTACGACTATTTCGAAAAGTTGCAGCCATTCGGAAAGATCACAATCTTTCATAAAAGACACAACTTTTCATAAAAGTTGCAACTCTGCATTAAAGTCGCAACTTTTCATAAAAGTCACAACTTTTCACAAAAGTCGCAACTTTTCACAAAAGTCGCAACTCTTCACAAAAGTCGCAACTCTTCATAAAAGTCGCACCTTTCATAAATGTCACAACTTTTCATGAAAGGGGAAGCTAGTTTTGGAAATAAATAAATTAAAAGGGAATTCTGGTTTGTGGTGGCGCCACTTAGGCTGGCCTAAGATTCTCTTTTATATGTATATATAATATGATTATTTCCATTTCATTTTCGTTTCCCTATTTCATAATATAAATCAAATTACTAATTTTTGCAAATAATCACCCTATAATCTATATAATCTTCATATAATATAAAATTTTATTCTTTTTCAAATTCTTCATTTAATAAAAACTTATTTTATTCTAAGTTTCTAAAGGTAACATAAATGCGACAAATATTATATATAATACATATGAGCAATTTTTGTACTTGTGTTTTTATGTGTAGCTAAATATTATTTAAATTAACAGTTTTATCTTGTATCCAATTATTTTGTATACTAATTTACTCCCCTGTTCCATTTTAAAGTTTGCAACATGTATTTTCATGCTCATTAAAAAGTGTAGTTTAATCATTTATCACCATAACATAAAACTGGATTGTTTGAATTATCATGTAATTTTGTGCATTCTTCATAGTGAAAATAATTATAATTTTAAATTACATATTTAAAGTGAAAAAATCTTTTAAAAATTAAATCAGAAAAATTGTTAATTAGGGATGAAAGTGGTATATTTATCAATAATATGTTTTTAGTTATTATATTACTTAGAAAATAATTTCAAATATTAGAGACTTAATTAATAGTCTTGTTTAATATATATAATATTAAAAATAATTTTAAATGACATATTTAAATTGCTAATATTTTTTAAAAATAAAATAGAAAAATTATTATTTTTTGATGTTATATTGCATTTTAAAACAATTACAAATAATAAAAACTAAATTAACGATGTCATAAAAATAAAATTAAAATAATCAAAAGTGAAATTGAGAGATGACTAGTAGTTCTCCCAATTTAGAGAACTACTATTCACCTCTTTACAAATGGAGTATAGAGAGTAATATGGAGAGGGGTTGGAGAGGTCATTTTCTATTTTACTCTCCATATATAGAGAATGAAGCGTAAAATAGAGATGTGTTGGAGATGGTCTTATCGAAAATCTTATCCATCAGCACCAACTTAATGACTAAGAAATTGCTTAAATAGAAAATTGAAAAAACGCCTTAGTACAATACCACTTTATTAAAATTGTGGGCTAAACCACTTGTTAACAAAACATATGTGTATGCAATCTTATCCATATTTAAATATATTTCTACACTGCGCTAAGAACATAAAAAATGAATATTAATAAAACTAACAAATAAAATGGATATTAACAAACATAAGGAATAAAATAAATGGCATGTCAAAAATGCAATTTAATATAAAATAATGATTTAATCAAAGAAGCGATATTCACAACATATTTAATTGATTGTGACAAAAAATAATGTAATTAAAATTAACTGATAAAAATCCTGAAATTTTGAGAAATATCGATAAACTTATTCAAAATTATAAAAATGTATTTTGAACTATTGAATAAATAAAACTTTAAAGTTATGAATTTTGAAAATGTTAGGCCAAAATTGGGTGTCAACATATGATATCCAAAGGTATTTCTAAATTAATTTGGATAGTAATTCTAAAAAGTTTCGGATACTTAAGAGATATTTTAGAAGGCCAAAAAAAAAGAAAAAAACGCTTTCCTGTGAAATAGTCTTTCTGAAAAAATATATGTGATTATTCGTAAAACAATTATTTCCTTAAAAGTTTGTCTTTTACAAACCTTTTTATACCCGATCACTGATTTTGTGATCCATTACAAATTCTTTTACTTTCTGTCTAATCTGCGATAATTTCATTATTATTATCTATTTATTTCTTTTAATCAATATTAATATTGTTATTCTTACTATTATTATTATCATCAACATTTTCGTTATGCAAATTTGAAAATCACTTACAACCCTCAACTTAGTTTTAAAAAAAGGGAAAAGTCTCTCAAATTTGAGAAAATGCTTGTATATTTGATATATTAAAAGCTGGGATCACCCATGTCACTACCATTAAAAAAAGGGACATTCGTGCCATTATTTTTTAATATTCTGATTTTATGGTTTTGCAAAACCATTTTGTACGTTCGTTCTCGTTTGATTTCTTTATATTTTGAATCAATTTAGTGAAAATTCTTTCTCCCACCCTGATTTTAGGTAGTCATTTTCCACGGCAAAACAAGTCAGGTCAACCTCAGATGACCTTATAAATTAGAGGCTCATTCATTCATAGAAAGCAAGAGAAAAATTTGGAGGTCAAACTGTTGAAGCATAGTAACAAGCTAATTAATAACTGCACGATTATTCAATTTTGTCAAAAGCATACTCAAAATTGTTTCTATGTAAGTATATAATGAATATCTTTCTTTTTGCGTCATATTTTTTTTATCTCTTTAGTGAGATTACACCAAATATGTTGTTGTGTTGGATTTGAAACCTTTATGCAGCTAAAAAAGTTCCACAAATAGACGTATAGGTCGGAATTAATCTCAAGTTTGAAAAAAAAGGTTTTTTTCCTTCAATACAACTTATTGAATTATCGAGATGCATTGTATTTCCTTTTTGCAAGGATCTTGAATATTTATCTTATGATAATTTTCTATTAGTACATTTTGAAATGCAAGTAATTATGGATAGTGCGGCAATTTTCTTTTCTCCTACACCATCTATAGCTATCCAGGAGCCAACTTAAAACCCTAAAAAATTACTACTAAAATGGAATTCAAGTTTTTGATATTCCTATCACGATTATGGAACTTCAAAAGAATTTACCGCAACTCCTTATAACTATTTAACTTTCGCTAAAACATAATAATATAGAGTTTAATATCTAAATAGCCACTCAACTTATGATAATGAATTACTGAAGTCACTTTTCTTTGTTTTATAGTTTCTAGAAGTCAGTTAACTTTGTTTATATAGTCCATTTAGCTTGAAATAAATTTTATAAATTTTGAAGCCCACAATATATGAGGGCCCACCAAATACATAAGACCAAACCCTAAAAACTAGCACCCTTTTGGTTCAAAGGAAGTGACAGTCGTGGATGCCCAAAGCTCTAAGCTTTTCAAGGAAGATTTCGAAGGAAGAAGAATCTCTCCAGTCACCATGATTATGGACCTTCCAACAGTGGTTATGATCGAAATTCTTTCACGATTGACAATCAAGTCCATCTACCGTTGTAAGATGGTTTGTAAACTTTGGTACCTTATTTTAACTTCTGACCCTTTGTTTACTAACATGTATCACCTCAAAAGATCATCTGATTTTCCCAGCATTTTGCTTTCAATTAATGATTTTGTACGGTTACTAGTAGAACTCAAAGCAGATGATTCTCACCCCGTACACCGAGCTATTGTGTTGAGCCCTATGTTTCACCTCCCTTCACCCAAATTTTCTTGGGGTAACATGACATTAATTGGTTCTTGCAATGGATTTCTATGTTTGTTGAATGGTAGGAGATATGACGTAGACCATAGAATTTACATTAGCAATCCTATTTTAGGCGAGTATTTCGAGGTTAAATTGCCCGAATGGGATAAAAGGATTCGATGTGTTTCTTATGCATTCTGCTTTAGTAAAGCCTCCGGTCAGTTTAAAGTATTGAGATCAGTAGTTAGAAAGTCTGTTGGAAGTCCAAAAGTATCTGAATTGGAGGTTTTTACTCTAGGAGCTAATGAGAAATGGAAAAATGTGGGCAAGGCTCCAGAACCTCTATGTGGATTATTTAGTAAGGTTAACATCAATGGTGTTATTCATTGGATGGGTTGCAAAAATAATGACAACATTTACTCATTTAACAGTTTTACTGAAGAGGTGCAGTCCTTGTCACCTCCGCGTGGTCTGCAAACCCCATTGTTGGGCTTGACGCTAGGGGAGTTGGGGAATTGTTTGTGTTTGTCTGATGATAATCATAATCAGTATATTGATATATGTTGGATGAAAGAATATGGAATAGCTGAATCTTGGACTAAACAACGCATTTTGAAGGATAGTATTCAAGCAGATATCCGTGGTGATAAATTTATACCAATCTTACTTTGGAAAGATGGAGAAATCTTGATGCAAAGAGATCATGGCACACAACTTGTTTCTTACAACCCAAAAGAAAATAAGTTTACGAAGGTGAAAGTGTACGGTGGCACTGGAGCAACTAGCTACACTCCAAGTTTTTACTCACTCAAGACTGTCATTGGGGAATGTTTTCAAGTCTCATATGCCTTTCCGAAGATTGAGCTAGTTTAGATGTTCAATTTGTCTTAATTTTTCCTAGATATTATGTTTTGCAAAAATGTTTCTTATATTATTTAGCTTAAGACATGATTGTTTTATGGATCTTTTGAGGTCTGTTAGTAACTTTGCAATGTTAAGTCTCCAAATTTGCATTTTTTTTTATCATTTCATTCTACACTTGTCTGAATAGAACAAACTAAGGAACACAACACTGTGCTATCTGTAAAAATAATAGGAACATTCTCAAGGTATATATATATATATATATATTATAGACAATGATGTCTTCCATAAGAATTAATACCAAAAAGTAAACTAGTTACCCTCTAAAATAATAAATTTCAAAACTAACAGTAGATACAAGATAAAAGTCTATGTACAAGACTATAGATATTTTCTGCAGGCTTTGTTGTTTTAATTTCACTCCAACTATTCTTCAGAAAATCACAAAATATAATCCAATTTTTTTGTAAGCTATGAAAACAATCTCACCATCAGGTTTACTGCTACCTAAGCTACCCTAGAAATATGTTTTCAATCTAGAACAAAGCTAAGTTACTTCGACACTTCACTTTTGGTGTTGCACCTGTGTCAATAAGATGTGGGTGTGGGTGCGGGTGTGGAATTCGTGTTCGATTCGGTCAACTGATTTTGCATATTTTGACCAAAATTGTTGGGAAAACTCCGGACAATCTTAATGATTTTTGTAATCAATACAAAAGCTGAGGTGAAATTGAAGGAAATGGAATATCTTTAAATTGAAATTTCTAGGTTACTCTTTTTCCTTTGATCTCCATCCAAGATTCTCCTCAAGCTCTCCAGATAATATCTCATAATTTAGGTTTAATAACTCTAGTTTTAGATATTCTAATTATTTAGGCAAATCCACACACCCTTATTTATTCATGGATCCATATCCCCAAATCTTAAAAATTAGATCATGAAGGATCCGACCTATAGATCCGCACCCGTATCGACACCTTCACCTGACTCTGACCAACTTAGGAACAAAATGCCTCAGAAAACATGATAGTTTGATTCTCTCATTCTTTAAGTTTCGCACCTCTAAACAAATCCACAAAGTAAACTCCCCTACATCCCATCTTGAATGATCAATGACTGCTAAAAAAAATTCACTTCTATCAAGTCATAAAACTTTCTTGTCGGAACATCTATTACATCGTTCTGAAATTTCATAATTCTTAAATTCTTCTTCTTAACACTAAATGCAACTATGAATCTTTCATCAAGAGTACCTACGGAATATATGGCTCCTTCGAGGCAAACTCCTTTGTCAAGTAGCAGAATCAACGAACATGGTGCCCTTTTAGTCTTTCTCCATGATTCACTTGAATAAAGAGTTAAAACCCAATTTATTGCGAGTGAGAAAATCTTTCGCGGAATACTACTCATCAAACTTTTGTACTTCTTTTCATCTGGTTCAAAACCAAATAAATAGTAATAATGGGTAAATTTATCATCAATGGAATTTAGGAAAGGAAGATAGTTTACTAATATTGCATTGGGATTAATAAAGTGTAGAGGATGATCATCTCTACTCCATAAGTAGAACAAAATGTTAATCTACTACAGGATATTTAATGTCATCTAACTCATCAATATGACATACAATGGCTTTTTCATTTTCCACCTTTTGATCTATGGTGTAAAATAATTTTCCATCCTCTGAATGTGAGAGGAATTTGTCTCATCGAGATGAGATATAGAGCGTTCATGAGGCATATCTACAAAACATGGATCCAAAACAAGAGAATTGTAAAATTTAGAAAGACACTTATCACACATCAAAGAATCAACTAGGAGTTTAGAATATATAGCATATATGATCTCTTCATGCATTGAAAATTTTACTAAATGCCTCTTGCTCTTTTTGTTCTCCACTAGGAAAATCATTTGTTACCTGAAATAGTTTCATATTAATATCTTCAGGTAATGAAAAATTGAACGATTTCAAGACTAAACACATTAATGGACAATAACATATATCAAGAAGCTTTAGAACATACCATTACCTTTTTTGATATGAGAACAGAAACTGCTAGTTATAAACTGGAATAGAAACAATGGAATCTCAAGATATATAAAACAATTCTATATTCTTCAAGTCTCCAAAGTAATAATTTATATATATAGTTTCACTCCAGCGTCTAGATAATATCTAGTTAGACATTCATTAATTACTAAAGCCTAAGTATGTGCAAGAAATAATACTAGAAAAAAAATCTAATGTTAGCTATGGCATAGTTAGACTTCAATAATTATTTTCAATCAATGACTCTGTTTGGTTATTTGTGGAATTCAAATATATTGTGCTCCAAGATTTTGGAAAATTTATTCCAAGATAAAATTATGATATATGCATGAACTCCCAAACATGAATGTTGAATTACTATAATACCCTCAATTAAAAATACTCAATTTATTTTATTTATTTAATTTAATTATATTATATTAAAAGTAGATACCTTTCTTACAATAAAAGATTGTGACTTTTCCAATGAGTTGTTACTTTTCCAAAGGATTGTGACTTTTTCAAAGGGTTGTGACTTTACAAAAGAGTTGTGCCTTATCCTATGAGTTGTGACTATTTTAAAGGGTTATGAATTTTCTGATGAGCAATGATTTTTTAGAAGGGTTGTGACTCTCTAATAAGACACAATAGTACCTATTCATAGTACTATTTGTTAGCTATAGAGGGGACATTTTCTCTCACTTTTAAACTATGATTTTTAAGGTTTTCTACTCTTGTTCTTCTTATAAACTCCAAGTGTTTTTTGCAACAGTTGATTAAGTTCAAAATTCAATGAAATTGGGGGTACCATATAAGAAAGAGTTGGTGAACAAATTGTAACAAATCATTCATCAATTCACAATTATATTTTCTTCTTACGATTTTCATCACACACATACTTCAATATTTATATCATTTTAGAAAATTAATAGCCTTTTGTAACAACTGGATTCCGTCGTTATAGAAAATACAACGGGGAAAAATTTTGGGTCGGAATTTTTTTTCGTAGTAACTTGGAATTTCCCAACCTAGTCCAGATTTGGCCGAAATTGGAGTCATTAAAGTCTATGGAAATATGGTAACAATTGGGTGATCTAATTATGAATTTGATCACATTAGTAGATAGATAAGACGTTAAGGAACTCGTATGACTTTACGAAATTGAATTCGGGAGAATAGAACTCCTGGAATCGATGTTAGCGTGAACGAGTAGTTTCTGAGTGTCGTTGCTGGAAGGTATATTGCGAAATGGGGGTTTGAAATTCTTAAAATTGATCACTATTTCCGTACAAGCCGCTGAGGCGAGATTTCTGCCATCAAGGCGGGGTCGATATAGCAAGGTGAGTGCCGCCATGGCGGGGCAGACGCAACTTAAAATCAAAAAATAAATCCCAAAAACGTTTTATTCTACAATTTTTGAACTTGAGATCTAAGGAACGAACCCAGGGTTTTCTTGACAGATTTTCACCATTCTTGAGGCTAAAGGTAAGATTTTAACTCCCCGAATCCATTTTTCGATTCGTAGAACGTAATCTAATGGGTAATTATTGATGGAGTAGGGTTTTGATCTGGAACTTATGGTGAGGAAAGCCCTAATCTGGGTATGGGGATCATGGGTATGATCTAGGGTTGATAGAATTGTTAGTAATTCGGGTAATTAGTTATTGTTTATTGATTCCCATGTTATATTGATCGTTTGTAGACCAAGAACAAGCGGAACGAATTTGGAAAGGGAAGAATCAAGTTTCTTAGGGGTTTCAAGTTTGTTTCAAGGTAGGTGATGGTTGTGATTTCATGATTATGTGATATATGTTTGTTCTTGCTTCATTATAATACGTGTATGTATGCAAATGTTGCATTATTGATTAAACTTGTTGTAAATCAGGATAGATGAATGATGAATGTCATGAATCATAACTTGATTGTATGATTATGAGAATGTACATTGTGATTGTGATTGTGGCTTGTTGAATGGATCGAGTGTTGCGTTCTGACACACTAACTTGGATTGGTTGCCACATTCCAACATAAATATGGGATCGGTTTCCACGTTCCGGCATAAACATTGGATCGGGTACCACGTTCCGGTATGCTGACAATTTGGGTTTGGGTTCCATGAGAGGACCAATGAGTTTACTTAACTGTATAATTGAGACTTGTGAAATGCTCTGTTGTTATTAAATGATGATGCTATTGTATATGTTCGGTGTATGCATGTTATTTTTATGTTGTATGACTTATGTATATTGCACTTAGTGGGATAGCCGCGTGATCCTACCAGTACACTGTGGTTGTGTACTGATATTGCACTTGCTCTTTCTTTGTTGAGTACAGGGCATCTTCAGGCGGCTATTGGCAGACCTCGCTTAGAAGATCAGTGATCGTCATTCGAATTCAAGGGTGAGCCAATTCTTCTGGGCTGCCATGAGTTCTCCTTCGTCTATGTCCGTATTTGGGACTTAGACTTTCTAGTTAGTTATTAGTTCGTTAGTTTGAGGTTGTAACCCTTCTTGTTTAGACTTTTGGTTCATTGTTAGATGTTTTGGTACATTGACTTTCAGGTACTAGGCATTTAATTCCGCAATTCGTTGTTAGATATTTTGGAAGTTTATGGGAACTTCAGTCTTTAGTTATTTAAATTTGCTTCAATAACTTTAAATGATTTAGTATATTGACTAAGTTGGTTAGCTAATTAGTATAAATGGTTCTCCCACCGGAGGTTAGTGTGGGTGTCAATCACGATGGTCTGGATCGTGACAAAGTCGGTATCAGAGCCTAGGTTTGTTGATCTCGTTGTACCAAAACGAGTCTAGTAGAGTCTTGCAGAACGGTACGGAGACGTCTGTACTTTTCTTTGAGAGGCTATAGGACTTTAGGAAATTTCTTTGTTTTCTCTTGTCTCCTTTCGTGCTATAACTTGATTCCAGGTTGTATCTGCCGATTCGAATTGGTATCTAACCTCCTTCACTCAGATGGTTAA